GAGAGAGAGAGAGAGAGAGAGAGAGAGACTAGGTAGTTTTATCTCACTCAGCCTGGCAAACAGGCAGGGTCGAAGCAGCCCGCTTCTTAACTTGTTTTAAATGTTCTCTTCGGGCATGTGAACTATTTAAAAGACAAAAAAGAAAGTACATTTTTGCGATTGTAATATCAAATGCCCCCCCCCCTCCCAATTCGGATAATATTGGAGGCCGGCTATTTTGACCCTGCGGGTGGTTGGTGGGTGCTCTTGTGTGGTCTGCTCCTTCTTTCTTACCAAACATCTATCGTCTTTATCTCCCCTCCTTCTTTTTTGTATTTGTTACTGTCTTGTAACACCTCCTCTAATCTTCGGCACATGTATGACCTTATTGTGTTGCAAGTGCCGTAAAACTCTTACTAAAACAAAACAAATGACCCTGCCTGCTAGGACCCACCTGGTTTGAGAGGTATAAGACATCCCAGCAGAAAGCCATGAAATTCTCCCCACACGAGAATCGAACTCAGGTCTTGTTCGTGCGACGGCAAAGCACGTCGTCACCGCTACAATACAGACACCATTGGTGTATGATGTGACCTTAATATGTAATGTTATTATAAGGCGTTATGACATAGTGGAACCAGGCGCTCGTCAATTTTTGAGCATGTGGAGTTGTTATTGGTATCATCTGAAAGCTTATAAATTCATTTGCTTTGCTCTCGATGAAAAAAAAACACCCTTTTAACTTGAATAGAAGTGGAAATATTTGCGATTGAAGGAGGTGAGTGTAGCATGGTTTCAGAGGGAAAACTTATCGAGAAAATGGCCACCACAGTTTGGAACCTTCTTTGGCTGGATAGTCCTTGAAAAATGAAAGTTTTCATATTGTGTGCCATTAATCCACGTTTTTCAGTAAAATTCACAAGGAAATGCTTTTTAAATGGACATAAAAGGAGTTGAGCCCAAAACCAAAAATATAATAAAAAATTACCAAACTGAAGGAAAAATGCCTGTCTCTTTGATTTCATTATTTTGACGAGCGCCTGATTCTACCATGATGCCTCAAGGACACCATGCTAGTGGGGAATAGCTGCGAGTTTCTGTAACCAAATGCTGATTCGCACACTGACCTTCTTACTATTTCGAGCGACTTGTATAGTGTGTAAGTATATAATATATATGTACTGTTAAGTAAAGTGGCTTAAGTTTTCTGGTGTAGCATTGCTCGCACATCATTACTGACTGGCAGTGGTTGTCTACGAGGTCATTCAGTGAATGACATCACAGTGGTCAGATTTGGACGTCCAAATTGTGTGAGGAATACATTGTATCATTAATTTGTGTGTCTGTGTCTTGCAGTTAACCAGCAGAACTAGGAAATATCCTTGGTGAAGTGTGTCGTGTTCGGACATTGGCTATTGCTGTGACAAAAATCCCGATTTTGGACATTGAGACAATATTTTCGTGGCAAAAGTCCAGTGTTCAAGTCAGTGACTTTTTTGGTGACAAAAGTCCAGTGCAACGAGGACAGTGACAATATTTCTGTGTCAGAACCTTGGACTTAGTGTTGGATCAGTGATTGTTCTGGTGACAAACGACTCTTGCTTGGTCGCAGTGGTTTTTTCCATGACAGACGCCCTGCCAGAAATGTTCAAACATTGACTTTGATATATATTTGTGTGACAAAATCCTGTGTTGGGACGAGGACAGTGACATTATCGGGCAACAAACGTCACACTTATTCCCACAAAGGCACGGTTCTTGCGTCACATCACAACAGAGACGTGAGTAGTGAGTAGTCATCATCACCCTGTGCGTTGCCGACTGGTGAGTAAATTTACGCACCAAACGCCTCCTGAAAACTGAGATGGAAGGGAAAGGATCCGATTCCGACGGTCAGGCGCTGCAGCTTAGAGACACTGACCACCACCCATTAGGAAGGAAACCGCCGCGAGGAGGTGGGGATGGTGGCCCGAGGAGCCAGCACTTTGCCACCACGGAGACACGGGTCAGCGAGGACAAGAAGAAAGTGACGTACATCCTGCAGACCTCGGACTCCTTCACCCAGGATGAGTACGTCACGTGCACTGGTCATCATGCTGACCACAGTGCTAATAATAATAATAATAATAATAATAATGATAATAATGATTATAATGATAATAGTAATTTAATAATGATAATAATAATAATAATAATGATGATGATGATAATCATGTTAATGATAATGATAATGAAGATCATTTCTATAGCGCCCACTCGCGCCTGTGTAAACTTAGCTTTAAAAGGCGCTTTTCATAAATGCGTGTTACGAATATTATTCATTCACGCACGCACGGACGCACGCACGCACACGCACACACACGAGCACACACACACACACGAGCACACTCACACACATACGCACACACGCAAACACATACACACATACACACATACATACATATCCACTTGCTTACCACATGCACACGCTTACACATCGTTACGAAATGAGCTCATACAAATGCTTAGTAAAATGAATCATGCTACTGACTGAAGTTGTCTTTTGGCCATTCCCAAAACATGTTCATCCACAGTGGAATTGTAAATGGGTTGATTTAGCAATGTCATGCTTATAATGTGCTTTTTCTTTCCTCATCCTTACTATCGTCATTTTCCCTCTACTTCTTTTGTATGTTTGTCACTCCCTTGTGAACTGCTGTTTCCGGAGTGCCGTGATAGTCGAAGCCTACTTTGTGATGTTGAGGCTAGAGAGGTGAGCAGAGTAAGCCGGATTCCCCGTTTGGACTTCTCTGTTGACATCCGTCTCTTGGCGCTCATATGACCGTATGCAGTTGCGAGCGCCGTAAAACCTTACTAAAACTAAAAACTAAAGTCTGAGGATGAGTTACCTTAATAATAGCACATTGACTATGTATCGATTGATCAAATGATATATCGATCACACTGTTTTTCTGTTAGTGAGAGAGTGTTGTTTTATCAAGTAGTTGGCCAGTCAATAAGGAAGATGTTCTTTGATTCATAGTCAATCTTTAAATCAGCCACTTATTTACTTAATCAGAAAGTAATTGATATCACCAATCAATCAGTAAATCAGAAAGTGATTGCTCAGGTAAACAGTAAGTCGGAAATTAATTTTTCAGTCAAATTGTTAATTAGTACATCAGAAATACATTTTAAGAAAAACAATAATTTAATGAACCAGACAGTAATTATACAGTCAATCGGTTGATCAAAAAGTAGCTGTTTCAATGTTTACCCAATCAGTTAATCAGTCAGAAAGCAGGCTACTTAATCAAGGAATCAATAGGACTGTCCCCGTGGTTTTATACACCCCGCATAATTTAGCAAAATTTGATCATTTTTTGCATAATTTTTAAGTATTTTCCTTTATCATTCTTTGTTAAAATTAACAGAATCTCATAATTTTACATTTTTGCGCTCAGTTTGCCTAATTTCAGAATTTTTCTTGCATAAAACGACGGGGACAGATAGGGCTACCTGTCAGTCAGCTCTTAGGTCCTACTGTGTAATTTGTTTATTGAAATATGTCGACACTGTTTTTTTCGGCTCTGATGTGACAACTTATACCACTTCTTTGATCGAATGTCCGTCTTTGTATGTTTGTTATTTTCCCGTAATGTTTAATTGTTCAACTTGTTTTTGGGTAAGCTCGGGTCGAAGATAAACTTTATTATAGAAGTCAATCTTTCTGTCATTTAGAACTTAATTATTTTTTGAAAATCCAACGTATGTTTTTGATCTCTCTGTCAGACAATAATTTAATGAACCAGACAGTAATTATACAGTCAATCGGTTGATCAAAAAGTAGTTGTTTCAATGTTTACCCAATCAGTTAATCAGTCCTTTTAAGGACAATAAGCGGGCTAACCCAGAATTCGGAGTTTTTCAGAAGTCTTGACCTACACCAAAGTGGACATTGCCCTACCTATAGGAGAAGTTTGGTTTCATTGGCGTGTATATTTGTTAGGTTACAGAGAAAACTCTCCATGTCTTTTAAAGAAACTGAACAAGGGTCGAAAATTTTACCTTCCATTTTCTCAAAACAGCTTTTTAGGGATAGCCCCCTTGTGCTTAAAAGCGACCAGTTCAAAGAGTCATAACACATTCATGTTAGATAGGACAAAACAAATTTGTGTTTGATGATTCAATAACAAACTCATTTTCATGAATCCAGTGTAAGATTTTGTCCTCTCTTTCTACATGGTCGGTGATCAGTTGGTTGCCAAGTCTTTTGTATCACGTGAAAATCTCTGTAGTCCGGGGCTATTGTCATATTATATGTCCCCGTCGTTTTATGCAAGAAAATTTATGAAATTATGCAAACTGAGCCCAAAAATGTGAAATTATGCGATTCTGTTAATTTTAACAAAGAGTGATAAAGGAAAATAATGAGAAATTATGCAAAAAAAAGATCAAATTTTGCTAAATTATGCGGGGTGCATAAAACCACGGGGACAGTATTATATGCAGCGTTGTCAGCATTTTGAGTGTATTGTTTGTTTTATCACCCTACTCACGTAGTAATTTTCTTTGAAACATTTGCTCACATCCAACTGAAATTGGACTTCCTTGATTAATGAACAACGTTGAGGATTCAAGTATTGCATTGAAAATATGGTTTGAAGAAACAAAG